CTGAAGGAACGGCATGGGTATGTAGGACCATGGAAGACAAATGTAGTCACCCTTTACCAGGAAGTCAGATTACAGCAGCAAAATAAAAAAGGAGTTTGGAGATTTGGAGGAGGCTGTGAGCAATAGAAGGTACTTTTTGAGATAAGAATACATACTTGAATAGGATTTATTTTTTTTAAACCAGAGTTGAGTGCCACTTTAAATCAAGAATATCTATGAATATAAACAGTGTATAAATATATTGTTTTTTTGGATCTGTAAGAGGATAAAAAAAACAGATTCCTGTAGTGCCTGATTCAAAAAATGATTAGTCTAGAAGGTGTAAATAATGAGAATGCCACTAGATGGAGACATAGTACTCAAAACCTTAAAGCAGAGGTTCAGTCAAAATTAAAAAAAGAATAAAAGTCAGTAGCTACAAAAACTGTAGTTGCTAACTTCACTTACATGTCCCCCGATCCTGCGGTGTCCCCACACCGGCTGGGTCCTGTGTGCTCCGCGCTGGAATCTTCAGTTTGGGCATCTATCTCTGACAGCTTGCGGCTTCATAGCCTGGTGCCCCTTGTGCATGCTCAAGTAGTCCTGCGCTTTGTGAATGGTCCCGAGGACAAGTTCCGCTTCTGATCGTCTAGGCGATCACAGTGGAAGTGGGAGTGGATACCTGTCAAATTTGAGTACCCCCGGCTCCCCAAAAGTGCCAATCCTTAATAGGGAGTGAGGAAGAAACTTTAAAACGGAACTCCCCCTTCTGGGTGGAGCTCCACTTTGTAAAGGTTTTTTAGTGATTGTAAAGTCTTATTTTTTTAAAAATAACAAACAAGTTCATACTTACCTGCTCTGTGCAATGGAATTACACAGAGCAGCCCCAATCCTCCTGTTCTTGGTGTGCCACTATAGGAAGCTTCTTCTTATCATGGCACACCTGCAGGCTCAATCTCAAGCTGCGCTCTCTGTGTTCATAGACACAGACAGCATGGCTCAACCCTGCTCCCTTGTCACAGGATTTGACTGGCAGCAGTGGGAGCCAATGGCCGTAGCAAAGCCTGCAAGATGGATATTGAAAGGAGAGAGCGGGGCCGAATCTAACCTATCTAATGTGGGGGTGCAGTAAAGAATACCAGGGGGGCAGAGGATTTGAGGTCAGTAGGGCAGAGGATAGGGTTAGCAGTTTTGAATGGCAGTACAGAGGGGCAGCAGAGTGGTGGACAGAGGTCAGTAGTAGGAAAGGCAGAGTTCAGGGGTCAGTAGTAAGAGACACATAGGGCAGATTTTGTCTAACAATGGGAGGAGCTTAAAGGGGGATGAATAAACAGAATCTGTGCCTAGTTGTGGTATACACTGCACACATATAGCACAGTCCTCATACCTACAAAATACTACTTACTATGTCACAAGTGACGGTCCCACAGACACACATAACCCTCAGGACAAAGGATCGTTTTTAAAAATGTAAATGTTTCCATCACATATGCTTTCCAAAATTGATCACTTTTTGTGACTGAGCCTACCTTACAGAAGAACTTCATTAGAACCAGCAACTGTTGGGACAATGAACACCTTGGTCAGGTCTATGTACAGTATAATGTATAGAGTATAGGGGGTCAGTAGTAAGTAACATCAAAACAACCCAGTTCAGTATCAGTACAGCATCAGGATGAGCCCACATGTTCACAACAGATTCCCCCCAGAGTCCTCCATCTTACATCAGGATCACAATCACCCTCCCCCCCAACATCAGGGTCCTTAAATCCCCCCCTTACATCAGGGTCCCTGAGGTTCCTCAGTCTTACCTCAGGGTCCCCCAACCCATCCCCCCTTACATCAGTATCCCCAGACTTATCCCCCCTTACATTAGGGTCACCCGAACCACCCACCAGGATTCTCAGAGATACCTCCCTAATATCAGGATCCCTGGTGTCACCCCCTATATCGGAGTCCCCAGAGTAACCCCCCAACATCAGGGTGCCTAGAGTTGCCTCCCTGACATCAGGCCCCCCCTCCTCCTTATTTCAGAGTCCTAATAGCCCCTCTTGAATTATAGAAGAAAGAGAAGTGTGCCAGACTAAGTGCAGTATGAATATAACAGTTTATTGCACACAAGATTATAAAAACTCACAAGACGTGAGTAGATATCAGGCATCAATATATAAGGAGGAGGATGTCATCTGTGCTGCACCTCACAAATGGATGGCTGTAATGCCAAGGTGTTGCGTGGCTGGCGCTCTAGGCGGGTCCCACAGGAGGAAGCGAGGATGGCAGGCGCAGTAACCGGGAGTCGCGGCGCAGATAAGAACCGGGATCCAGGGCAGGCACTGCTGATCTCTCACATCAGCGTGGGTACAGTAGCCAGCTTGAGGCACATCCAAGATGGCCGCCGGGCAGGAAATGACATCAGGACGTTGCTGGGAATCCTCCAAGGGGGCGGTGACGCGTTTCTAGGCAACCTGCCTTTTCATCAGACCTGATTGGCTAGTGGGATGAGCCCAATAAATAAGGAGAGGAGGAAGGGGTGGGGCAACTGAGGGGCGGGGTAGTGAAATTAAAAAAATGTATAATGCATACAGGCTTAACAAGCAGTGGTGGAAAGCATAAGAAATAAACGGTGAGCAGCTGCTTTCTGTAGAACATGTGAAAGATAGAAAGAATAGAAGGAAAGGAAAAAAAAAAAAAAACACATGTAGAAGATAAAAGATTATACAGGGAATATTTAATTATAAATGTTATTACTATGATGTGGATTATAAAGGGTAAGATGGGCGGGTAAGAAGGTGGAATATGAAGGGGGGGGGAGACAATCAGGGAAAAAAAAAAAAAAAAACGCATGTAGAAAAAAGATTATACAGGGAATATTTAATTATAAACATTATTACTATGATGTGGATTTATGAAGTGTAAGATGGGCGGATAAGAAGGTAGAATATGAAGGAAGGGGAGGGGGGAGGGGGAAAGGGGGGGGGCAATGAGGAAAAAAAAAAAAAAGGGGAAGTGGTGGGAATTGAAGTATATACTATAAAAAATAAATAATAAAAAGATATGAAGGATAAAATAAGATATTTATTTTTTATAGTATATACTTCAATTCCCACCACTTCCTTTTTTTTTTTTTTTCCTTTCCTCCCCCCCCCCCTTTCCCCCTCCCCCCTCCCCTTCCTTCATATTCTACCTTCTTTTTTTATTTTCACTACCCCGCCCCTCAGTTGCCCCACCCCTTCCTCCTCTCCTTATTTATTGGCTCATCCCACTAGCCAATCAGGTCTGATGAAAAGGCAGGTTGCCTAGAAACGCGTCACCGCCCCCTTGGAGGATTCCCAGCAACGTCCTGATGTCATTTCCTGCCCGGCGGCCATCTTGGATGTGCCTCAAGCTGGCTACTGTACCCACGCTGATGTGAGAGATCAGCAGTGCCTGCCCTGGATCCCGGTTCTTATCTGCGCCGCGACTCCCGGTTACTGCGCCTGCCATCCTCGCCTCCTCCTGTGGGACCTGCCTAGAGCGCCAGCCATGCAACACCTTGGCATTGCAGCCATCCATTTGTGAGGTGCAGCACAGATGACATCCTCCTCCTTATATATTGATGCCTGATATCTACCCACGTCTTGTGAGATTTTTTATAATCTTGTGTGCAATAAACTTTTATATTCCTACTGCACTTAGTCTGGCGCACTTCTCTTTCTTCTCCATTTACCACAGAGTCCGGTTTACTCTAGAAAGTGCAAGCCTCACGACGGTGTCTACATTGCAGCGTTGTGTATATATATGTATACATATATATATATACCATCTATCTCAGTGTGTTCTGGTGGGGGTGGGGGTAGCTCTGTCAGAACAAAATAGCTCAGCGGGGAGATCACAGCACTAACATCACTTGTGTGTTAGTACGGTGATCTATAAGTGATCTATAATATCTTCCTGTGTGTACCCATCTTTGCCCTAAGAATAGCCAAGCAAACAAATAGACAGAAATAAAGGGTTAAATGAAAGTAAACCTTCCCACCTGATAACAAAACCTTCACTGCACACAACTTTACCTACTGCCAGGCTGATTGTGTATCTTCAGTCTATGCTGACAGGTCCAGCAAGCAGAGATGAACAATCACTGCATACTCCGGACTCAGCTTTATTTACTGCCGAGCTGACAGTGTGCAGCGATCGTTCAGCGTAGACAGGGGCTTATTTGCCGCAAGACAAACAAGGCATTTGCTTGGGGCGGTGGTGAGGCCGCCCCCCCCCCCCCTTTCCCATGGAAGCAACACTTCCATGGGAAAGGGACAGGGGCTGCTGTGTCTTTCCTGTCTCTGCGACTCCGTGTCCTACTTCGATCCGGTCCACGAGGCGCTGCTGGAGGAGGGGTGCAGAGGGTTTCCGTCCGGTGTCTTGATCTCCCTGGATCTTGATCGTGATGTGGGCAGGATGACATGCTGCCCCCTCTTCTGGCCACACCCCTGGGATCACTGGGCAGCCTATAGCAGCCCTCTGCAAGCTCCGCCTCCTCGCCGCCGGATCTGTAGCTCAGGAAAGGCACACAGGCGGCCAATCACTGGTGAGGAGGTGGAGCTTGGAGAGGAGGAGTCGAGTGGCAGTGTGAAGATCAAAGAAGATTGAGTGAGGGACCAGCCAGAGCCGGTGAAGAGGAGATCGGCCGGAGAAGGAAGACCACTGATCGGTAAGAGTCTGTGCCGTGCGACCGAGAATCTGGGCAGAGCAGATGGTGCTGCTGCAGCCAGGTATGCTGCCTGTGGATGGGAGAGGGAGGGACCCCAGCCTGGAGCAGGGGTCAGCACAGCAATGTAAGCATCATTGGTGTCAGTGGGAGGAATAGTGCCCCATCATTAGTGTCAGTGTGGGAGGAATAATGCCCCATCATTGGTGGCACTTTTCCTCCCACTGACACCAATGATGGGGCACTATTCCTCCCACTGACACCAATGATGGGGCACTATTCCTCCCACTGATACCATTTACGGGGCACTATTCCTCCCACTGACACCAATGATGGGGCACTATTCCTCCCATTGATACCAATGATGGAGCACTTTTCCTCCCACTGACACTAATGATGGGGCACTTTCCTCCCACTGACACCAATGATGGGGCACTATTTCTCCCACTGACACCAATGATGGAGCACTATTTCTCCCACTGACACCAATGATGGGGCACTTTTCCTCCCACTGACACCAATGAGGGGGCACTTTTCCTCCCACTGACACCAATGATGGGGCCCTATACCTCCCACTGACAGCAATAATGGCGGAACTATTCCTCCCACTGACACCTTCCTCCTACTGACACCAATGATGGGGCACTTTCCTCCCACTGACACCAATGATGGGGCACTATTTCTCCCATTGACACCAATGATGGGGCACTATTCCTCCCACTGACACTAATGATGGGGTACTATTCCTCCCACTGAAACTAATGATGAGGTACAATTCCTCTCACACTGACACTAATGATGGGGCACCATCTTTGGTGTCAGTGGGAGAAATAGTGCCCCACCATTGTTGTCAGTGGGAAGAATAGCGTCCCATCGTTGTCATCAGTGGGTGGAGCTCTAATAGGAAGAGGTGGAGTCTAAAGAGGAAGGGGTGGAGTTTACAGATGAAGGGGTGGGTTTTAACAGGAAGGAGTGGGGCAAATTTAGATGGGGGGGTGCCTGGTTTTAGTCTTTTCTAGGGCAGCACAAAACCAAAATACACCACTGAGTGTAGAGCAGAGATGGTAATGCACGATCAGCCTGGCAGTAGGCAAGGATGTTTGCAGTGGAAATTTTGTTTTCAAGGGAGATTTCCTTTCATTCAATACTTTCATGCTGGACATTTGTCATCTTTTAGATTAGGGAGGATGGAGCTGCTGGAGCTCTCAGTGTGCCCCTGCCTCTATCCACTACTCCAGCCCCAGGAGAAGGAGTTCAGTAGCTGGGCACAGAGTCCCGGGATGGTAGAGGCAAAAGGGGGCTGTTGGCTTTGGGGGGCACAACTGGAATCTGTGGGGGGGGCGTAGCCCACTCTAGCACCCCCTAGATCCTCCCAGAACAAACCCAGCACTAATCAAGAAGCATAAATTCCCTATGTAAGCCAAAATTCTCCCAAAACAAAAATCCCCCCCTTCCCAGTCAAATCTCCCCCCTAGCACATATTTTTGCCTCCAGCTCAACCCCCTTCCCCAAAAATCTCCCCCACCCAAAAAATCACCCCTCCTAGCACACATCCTGCTTCCCCTCAAATCCTCCCCCCCAATCCTCCCTCCCAGCATAAAACCCCCAAATCCCTCCTTCTTCTTCAATCCTGTCTCCTAACGCATACCCCCATTCTTCCTTCCTAGCACAAATTTCCCTCTCCCCCATTACCCTTCCCAGCACACAAAACCCCCCTATCCCCTCTCCTCCATAAATCTCTCATCCCAAGCACAAATGATTGTTTCCCCCTCCTTGGTGTTCTCAGTACATCCCCCTTTGGTGTTCCCAGTAAAGTTCCCCCTCCCCCTTGGTATTCTCAGTACAATTCACCCCCCCCCCCCGTGTTCTCAGTACAATCCCCCCCTTAACTACAGCAGTAGTGAGAGGGTGTGAGCTGTGCTGTGCTCTCCCCCCCCCCTCCTGTCATAACAGCGCTCCTTCCTCCATAGAGCAGATGACACAGGATTGCTCTTACATTGAACTGTACACACAGGTTTGACTACCTGCCCCACAATTTAGACAGAAGGTGATGAACAAACCAGAATGTCTTTGGAGCATATTCTGAATGTTTTCCTAACTCCTTGGTGCCGGTCACACATATATATGCGGCTTCTCGGAAGGTGGGCCTTACAGCCGAGAGTCTTCAACAAACTCTCACCCACAAATACCCTATAGAAAAGTCACTCTTTCACCCTTGAAAGTAAATTACTGTAAACCTTTCCTCAGATAAAATTCTTAATTTTTCCCATATAAAATGTGTCCCAAAAAAAAAAGAGTGCACTCTGGAAAATATTTAATTTTTGTGCATGAATCACGTGTCACTAATTTAATATTGTGTGGTTTATGAAGGTAATACACTATATTTAGTTTCATTTTTTTTAGGTGTTCTGGATCTGGATCAGCGAATTGAATTGGACACTTTATATAACATTTGAAGATTTATTATATGTTGGACATTAATATTTTTGTGGATATCATTATTAGTATGGACTATTATTTGGTTGTTATGTTTTTTTTCTTTTTTTTTTTTTTGGGACACGTTTTTATATGGGAAAAAATAAGAAATAGGAGTTTATCTGAGAAAAGGTTTACATTAACTTACAGCCGAGAGGCCACATATACGCGTACCAAAAGGTAAACAGACATGTCCCAAGAGCGCACGCCCTGCAAGCTCCTGACACAGTTACTGGTGGCTAATAGAAAGATTCTGATGTCTACTTGTGATTGGGAGCTTTACAATCATGTGACTACTGTGACAGCCAATCACAGTGGTCACATGGTCAGAAACCCTGTCCCACCTCCCAGCATCTAAAACCTCTTAAAAGGCCGGGAGGTGCCAGCACAAAGGGGTTAAGGTAAAGCTAAGGTTTACTACAACAAATCTTTGAGGGACACAGCACTATACACATTAGTTATGAGTAATGGGGTATATGCCATTACCTGCAGAAGGCTACTTCTGCTCCAAATCTTCTGTTCTGTGCCCCCCTCACAGTGTCCAGATACCGCCCCAAGCAGATGTTTTCAAGAGCTAAATCTTCAAATATATTCAGAAGCCCTTGTGGAGCAGGAAAAATGACCAGATACTAGTGTGTGTATATCAAGGGGACATTTTATCCACACAGATCATAACACAGGTCTGTAAAAAATTTTTTCAAGAGCTGCTTTGGTTATTCCACATAATCTTTATGTTTTTTGGTGCGCTGAATCCGAAAATGACCTCCATTTTGTCATAGGACATCACGTTTCCTGACAATTTAGGTAAGTATGTTAAATAAGGCAATACCTCAAAATAAATGGAAATTTACTTATAAAATTAAAATTTTATTACAATTTTTTCATGAAAATCCTTTTTTGAACTGAAATGAGCTCACCTACACACACTAAACTCGATTCTTCTTCGCTGTGAGGCTCCTCTTGGTGCATTTACGCTTGTGAGTAGCATCTGGAATGTCTCTCTGAAGCATCCAACAGTAGTCTGCCATCATTGTAATGCTCCATTTTCCCTGGTATCTCCTTTCCATCTCTTTAATGTCTTGGTGGAATCGTTCACCTTGTTCCTCACTCACAGCTCCCAAATTTTCTGGAAAGTAGTCAAGGTGGGACTGGCAGAAATGCACTTTCAAACTCATCAGGCAACCTAAAGCTTGAAATGCTTTCAGCATTCGTCCGACGATCTTTTTGTAGTGAGGATCTTTGTTATTGCCTAAAAATTTCTGTACGACTTCTTTAAATGTAATCCACCCTTCTTTTTGAGGATCCGTCATGGTATTGAAAACTCTTGATCAACTATAAGCCTTCTAATGTCTGGTCCGACGAACACACCTTCCTTGAATTTTTGCCTCCGAAAGGCCTGGAAACTTGGTGACCAAGTATTTGAAGCATTCTCCATCTCTTGGAAGTGATTTTACGAATTGCTTCATCAATCCCAATTTTATGTGGAGAGGTGGGAAGGTACCAAAGTTTCTCGGAGGACATTTTTTTCACTGACTGTTAGCACCCTCGGCTGCCAACTCTTCTTGGTCCAGTGATTTTGTCGATCTCGACTGTCCCATAGACACAGAAAACAAGGGTATTTGGTATACCCAGCTTGTTGCCCGTGCAGCATGCACAAGACCTTCAAGTCCACACACACTTGCCAACCATGGTCTTCATATTTAAGTTTACAAAGAACCAATTCCAAGTTCTCGTAGGTTTCCTTCAAGTGTACAGAATGATCTACAGGTATGGAAGCATAAAAACCACCGTTGTGGAGTAAAACTGCTTTGAGACTTCTTTTTGAAGAATCTATCTATGCTCTGAATCATATTGGATTTTAAATTGACCCATCAGACCTTCGACATCGATGCAATAAACCAACTTGATTCGTCATCTGGTTCAGGTATGACTTCACCTTCTTCGGAGCTAGGTATCTCTTCCAAGGTAGCAGGGGACTTGGGTACTGGTATATCTGTGCCATGGGGGATGGGACGAATTGCTGAGTGAAGATTGAGGGTATTAAATGGAATGCTTCCATTTGGTAATAAACCCTTTCACATCGCATGAACAAAAGTAACATTTGTCACTATAGTTCTTTTGCTCTCGCCATACTATAGGAATCCCATAACGGACAGATTTTTTCTTACCCTTGGACCAGTTTCGGAGGTCCTCAACACACCGTTTGCACACTTTATGAGGTGCCTAAACTTTATCTTGATCTCCAATTTTTAGTCCAAAGTATGCAAAGTATACTTTTTTCACAAAGTCTGTAATATTCTGCTGTTGCTTCAAAACTGTATATTCACCACAGATGAAACAGAAACTGTCTGGCGAATTAATACACTTAACGGTTGAAGAATGACGAGCTAACACGAACTGCGATGAAAAAGTGTGAACAGCCTAGAACCAAGAACCTGATGATTCACACACAAGTGTGGACTGCAGGAGAGAGGAGCTCTGTGTCTGACCTGCACAGACTCAGGGCTGAGGCTTACACGTACAGCATGCTGCTGAGTATCCCAGTAGTAAGACATGTCACTCAGGGCAGCACTTGTATTCACCCCCTTTGCGGGGGGGGGGGGGCAGAGATTGTTTACCTGCAAATAAAAACAAAGGGCCAGCAGAGAACTAGGGAAATGAGGAAATATAATTTTTTTTTCCCCTAAAACTTGCTTAGCTTATGTATATATTGCTGACCATCAAATGTACAGTGCTATATTTTTTTTTACATAACTCGGACAACCCCTTTAAGGTTTTTTTGGCATTTATATCTTAAATGCACTTATGTAAATTAATTAATAGTAATTTGGACTTTAAATTTGGTTAAAAACCCATAATATAAAAAAATACCAAAAATTAAAAAAATTTGATAAATTTGAAGACAGTTTTGCATTTTGTGGCAATTCATGACGTCTAGGAGTGTTTTCAATATTTTATTTGTTTCAGCACACCAAAATACATGGAAATTAGATGAAAATAATCAAACAGCTTTTTAGTCGCAGACCTGTGAATCTGAATGATTTCAACGTAGCGCCCTCCTAGGTGGGTGCTGGGATTACATAGATAGGATTAGTTATGTTTTTGATCAGTAGATATAGTTCTCACTCTGCAGGTAGAGGGGCTGTAATTATTGCTGGTAAATATATAGTTACTGGGTGAGCTGGAATCATTTAGTGAGGTCTGCTCTGTGTGCTCAGGTGCTGCTAGTCTGCCTAGCTTCCTCTGTATCCAGGAAACTGCAGAAGCTTCTGGATGATGGGTGTGGAATGATGGGTGTGGAACTATGCAGATGGCAGCATAAATATTATACA